GCCGGCCAGTCCTACGCTGACCGTGAGCGAGCGGACCGTTGTGCGCGTGCCCTGCCCTCGTTAGCACCCCACCATTTGGAGAGGCCCGGGCCACACTCGCAGCGAGGCACCAGCAAAAGCCACCCCGTGGAGGGAAATACTCGCCCATCATATGCCGCAGCCGGTCAAGGAAGTAAGGCATAGCAACAGCCGTAGAAGTCGCAGATTATGAGTTCGTGATTTTATTTTAGGGACTAATCTTGAGGAATTCCCTAAATTATTCATTGTGCTCGCTGTCAGTACATTTCCTGATGATTCTCAAGAAACACACCATCAAAAATGGGTTGACACCACCGAGCACAATCAGGCTCTGACAGCTACGGAAGAAGGAATACTCACTCGCTGTAGTGCGTTTGACCGAATCTCAGCAAACGACGCATGGCATCGGGGCTGGTGTCACGGCCGACCGCCCGCTGAGCTGCCGCGGCCGGCCAACGGCGGACATTCCACTTACCTCGTCCGCATAGGCGGTGTAGTAGCCCTGCGAGTCGGATGACATCACTCCCTGCTCCGTCGACCGCTCGGATTTGCCTAGCTCCGTTTCGCTCACGCCTCTGGTAGTCTTTCCTGACTGCGATCGACTCAGAGTTCAGTTGCCTGCTCTGTTGCACGGCAGGCGACGCGTGGAGCAGGCGTCAGTCCAGAAGCAAAGCTGCCGCTAGCCCGGTCTCGAGGAGATCGGTAGTATGCCTCACAGGCCGCTAGCCAGGTCTCGAGGAGATCGGTGGTATGTCTCACAGGCCACTAGCCAGGTCTCGGTGAGATCGGTGGTATGTCTCACAGGCCGCTAGCCAGGTCTCGAGGAGATCGGTGGTATGTCATACGCCGTGGGATCAAGCTGATCTGGGCCGTCACATACGTTCACTGTCTCTTCAGCTTCGAGCAGGTTTTAAGTCGTGTTTCGCGGTCCGTGGCACGTCATCACTACGGCATGAGGTCAAGAGCATGTCCACCGTTCCCAAAAGGTCACCGGGTGGCAAGAATCAGCAATGATTCTGTTTTTCACTTGGGTGGTCACCTAGAGCCTTCGGTATGTGGGCAGCTTCCGCGTAGAACAGTTTCCCGCGGTCACAACTACCGACCCCGGTGAAGTTTTGCCGTTACCGTTCTGTGTTCATCAACCGCACTACCCTGTCAATGGGTCACTTACGGCATTTTGTCAGGCGCACCACCGCGATAACTCACTTACAAAACAGCTGAGAAACCAGCACCGTCACCGTCACCATCGCCACCATCGTCACCGTTCGTCAGAGATGTCGCTGTGAGAGGCACCAGCACCACTAAAAGCACCGACGATCACCAAACGGGGCTCGCGAGCTACATCACTACCGGCACCAGCTCACCGAAGCATCAGATTCGCCCGCGCGAGCCTCCACCGTCGCCCGGTTCCAACTGTCAACTGCCGCTGAGCGCCGGCCAGCCCCCCCCCCCCCCCTCCCCTCCGCCTCCGCCTCCTCTCGGGCACACTCAGACGCCACCGGGCACTGTTATTGTTGGACACGTGTGACGCCAATAGTTCCGATAAACCCTGGCCCGGCCGGGCGAGAGACTAATGCCCACGGCTAAATGCGGGCCGATGCAGCGTTCGTCGGCCAAGTGTAGACAGCCGGCTGCCTGCCGCCGCGGAAGTCGTGTTTGTTTGACGTTGACGCCTCGCTGGGAGCCGCGCTGCAACATTCAGCACCCCACCCAACACAACGCTCAGCGTGTCGGCGGGGTGTCAGGGCAATATTGATGTGGGTGAGGTCAACCGCAGCTGTGGTCGAGTTTTGAGGGGAACCGGTCCTGCCAAAACATGACGCTTGGCTTAGCTGCATGCTTACAGAGAATCCTGAGGAGTGGCCCGATTCATATGCATCTGTCATATTGCCCGCCGATGAGGCATGTCCTCAGAATTTATGACATATGGCATTATGGTGCGGGAACTGAAGCTCCATCGCATAGCATTGCATCTGCATGATTTTCTGCATTAACTGGGTAAGCAATGCTGTTTTAGACACATTTGTCTCGGTGTAGAGATCGCACTTTAGAGGAACATATTACCCATGTACAATCGTGCCGTTTATGGTCACACGCGTGTGCTTTAATCATGGATGCTTCGTTACGCCGACGCCGACCGGGAACATCACCAAAACATCGTTCGCTCGCGATATTCAGGGGCGTACCCGCACGTCCGGGCGGGGTTGCGCCACGCCGCTGCGAGATCTCTCCGGGTCTGGCCCCCTGCCAACCATTCTCAGCACCGCGAGGCACCGTGTGGCTCAATCTATCACAGCCACGCGTGTGAAATTGACAACGATTTGGGTCGTCACATTTCGTACCTCAAACCAGTCGTCGTGGCACGCCCAATCAGTGCACAATCAAGCGTGACATCGGGTGAATTATCCAACCGGCTGCACTAGGTGTCATCACAGTCCCCCAACGGAGAGAGAAAATGACTTTAGAAGTGCGTATCACCTTGTGAGCATGGGGTCAGAGGGAAATTCTGGGGATTGGGGAACATATTACAGGAACATGAATACATTCTGATGGTGAACAAACATCACGCAATATGCCGTCGCCTTATGCGTATATTGAGCACATTAATTGTTACAAGCATTGTTCCCACATGTGTACCCAGCATCGAACCATCATGCAAGTACATTCAGGAGCGCGGCCACCTTTCACACAACACGGATGTCACGATCTGACTCAGTCAAATGATATTGCAAAAGTCTGGTCCAAGGCTCACCACCCGAAACAGCCCTCCGACGTCAGCGTTCCATCGGTTTTCATCCTTCCTCACGTCGCTCATGAAAATGCGATTTGAAACGATGGCTCAATGGCGCACAATGTTTCAGTTCAACTCAACGCTCCCAGAGGTAGTGTTTCAAACAGTCGGTCAAAGCTGGACCGCAGACCGACTTCTCTCCACAGACCGCAACGCTTTGCTAGGCACGTCGTCGAAGGGTCCGACTTGCGCAGAGGCTCCTGCTTGGGGCCGGTACACGCACCACCACGGCAAGGCCCCACCCACCGCCTAACTGGCAGGGTGTGAGATTTGGGTCATGGGGCTCTCTTCAGCTGCATTGGTGAAACGGTCTGGTAAATGGATGTTGGAATGCTTGAAGATAGTTGCCAAGCGCTTCGAGGCTTGCACTAGGAATTGCTTAACACTACGCCCTCGTGTGTCGACCGTGTGAGTATGCTACTCTGAATCCGACAGCAGCACACCTGGAGCGTACGTATTACATTTGTGGCCCGGTGCGCGCGACGGTGCAGAGCCCGCTGGCAAGTTGTTCTCCGAAATATTCCCAGCTGTTGTTGTTTCACTCATACCGCGTTCCGCTTGTACCTGTCTGATTTGATGAAGGAAAATACAGCAAACATGCAACGGAATTCACACATGTATACATTGCGCGCGGTTACGTTTGGTTTCCTACGTGCAGGCGCAACCGCTTAAGTTTGCACGCCACGTGATAATAAAAAATATACACCTGCCTCGGTTGCCAGGTATGGCTGAGTCACGTTATGTTGGGAGAAATCATCATAGATTAATCATATTCAGCAGCGATGGTGGCAAAAACGTTGTGTGAGAAGCAAGAAAGCATGCCAAACATGATGTAACACAACACTAGTGGCAATTAACCCACATGAGTACTTCTACTAGCCGTCTTACTTGTTGGTAGCAAACAAAGTACCAAATGATAATGTGTTGATATTCCAGTTACGGGTCTTGGCCCAAATTCATGGCGTAATAGGTGAATGAGCGTTGGCTTTAAACCTACCTGTGTTTCCTGTTCGGTTTTTTCAAACAACGTTTTAAATAGTAAGTCACGCTTTCTAGAGAGCACCATATTGATGACCTGAAGGCAATCTGCTAAAAATGTGCCTCGCTAGAAAAAAGTTTAGAAATGAGGTCCGAATTGCTTTGGGATTTCAAATATATGCACATTGGAATATTGCATTATTACGGTTTTGACATAGACATATTATCGAAATGCCAATACACTGTTATTTTGTAGTGTATTGAGAGCACTTCTTAGCATTGCTCCTGCTGGCGCAAACAGGAATTTGTGAACAGAACTGACTTTCGGTTATTCTTAAGTCTAACAAGAAAGTGCCAAGAAAAACGATCTTATGTATGCGTGATGTTTCTCGCAGGTGCATTTAGCCCCTTACATAGTTTTGGATAAGACCAGAATAGGGCCATGAGAAGTGCTCTAATGGATTTGTAATGTTCCTCCCAGCTGCACTGACCAACTTACGTGGTAAATCGATGTCTATCATACCATGTCTCAAATGCTTCTTTCGTTCACAAACTTGTACATAAACATACATACGCATGGCATTCAACCATTTTCATCTGGGGGCACGATGTGACGGAGGTGTACTCTTGTTTTGTCTCTCGTTGAGAAGTGAGATAAGCATTAATTGTGCTTATATTGGTTCTTCAATCAGCTCATGCCCTTGTAAGCTGTGTGGTGTGTGGTAAAATTCTAGGTTAGAGGGTATTTAGACTGTTGTTTTTGTTGCCCCATTTGACATGTGCGATCACCATTAGGATATGCTGCCATCTTTCGGATGGCAATTGCCGCCACCTTTCCACCGAGTCAAACTCCACATGTAAGTGGCTGCCAAAGCAGACCGAGTGCCAACATTCTTCAGCTCGTGCCGCCTCTCAAGGCTCGAGAAAAGCAAGCGTACGTAAGTGGCAATGCCAGTTCTGGCGTCAGTGATTGTAATGACGACATTCGAGGGCGATTCTTCAGTGATTGCGTCATGGTTTTCAAGACCTACTCTTCATATTGCAAGTGAGGCACCTCAAGACTTCTTTCAAGAAACGGTCATCACGTGTCGGATACAGTCATCGTAGTAGGTGATGGATGCACCAGTGAAATCAGCTCGACTGAAGCTAAATAGTGAGATGCTAACAGCAGTGGCATAAGCTATACCCATAACTATTTGTAAAAACCGGCATTTCATATCGTGAGCTGCATCATCCAGCTGCCATCCGGCGATCGACAATCCAATACTGATGCACACTATGCGGTCCCTGATGCAAAATATTGCGCAAAATCCATCGTCACGACTCCGCCTTGCACGAAGCCAATTCATCTGCCGGCAGGCATTGATGTCCACGACCCCGTGACCCTGGCGGTCAGGAGTTGGGCGCCGGGTCACGGGTTCACCTGGCACACGAAATAGGTCTCAAACGAGCACGGTGAGTCGTTCCACTTCATGCCCTTCCCGTCGCGGTCCCAGAGCTCCATGCAGTGCTCCAGCTCGCCGTTCTCGTACTCGAAGTTGTTGGGTTCGCCGGCGTTCCAGTTGGTGAAGGTGATGGGTCGGCCACTGGAGATCCAGAAGAAGCGGCCCTCCTCGCCCTGGTCCGTGCCCGATATCCAAAAATGTTCGTGACCGAAACCTGCGGGAAGGTCGAGGGAATGCAACAACATAGCGCTGTTGTGGCGCCAGATTTGGCCTCGGCCTTGCACAGCGGTAGCTGTACTAGTATGTCAAGCGGTAGTTACATTTGTGTACTGTAAGACAATGCAATTTTGTACACATTAACCCCAGCCCTGATAGGACAGGGTCGATGTGATCCCCCAGGGTTATATGAGGATATCGTGAGCATGCAGTTTCACCGCGCCCACATTTTTAGTAGGCTTTGAAGCATACTTTGCATGTGTTTTGAAGTGTCTCTAGCAGTTAAGGTTTTCAAACAGCGACGGTTTTTTAAGAAGACTGCACGGCGATCCACTGCCAGAGTGGGCAGCGGTTGACAACCGACGAATCCGCCGATTGTGCGTGGCAGGCCGATACTGTCATATTAACGAAAATCTTCATCATATCTATATATGCTAAAACAAATAAAACTACAAATCAGTGTGCTCAAACTCAAATAACGAACAGGCCTGTGTAAGTTTCATATTGCCACTTGATGTAGTTTTAAATTATTGGCACGTAAAGCTGAAATTACGCGACTTTCAGGGAAATCGACCCTTTCCTAGCTGGAGGTTTACTAGAGGTTCTGTCTTTCTTAGCTGGAAGTGGCAGGGATCACAGTGAACCCTCCCCTCTCAGTCAGCGCTATGAAAGGCCAAATCAGGGCTAAAGTTAAAGCAAAGGCATTTAAAAAGATCACAACTGCATCTAAACACCATGAGATGATCAAATTTCAGATAAATGCGTTCATCATTAACCGGTTGATCGTGACTGCGATAACAGTTGGCCGCAAACGTTACGAGTTTTGACGTGCTTTTACAACCGTCTTCAGTATCAGGAGCGTCATTTTCTAAAATCGGTAGGGGAGGGGGCCAAGCCGATAACATAGACTTAACCCCATCCAAAACCTGATTTTTTCCCGGCTTTCTGTCACTTTGCTTTGCGTTTCAGATGTGATATTAAAAAATATCCAGTTTTGGTCGATGCCATTTTGGTTTTGCTGCATAAATTCCCATCAGTGAGAACAAAAGGTAGCGTCGCATTTTTGTGAAAAGATCAGAATGAGGTGTTAGCACAGAAAATGTGTTGTTTTTCTATCATCAAAGTTGGTCCAAGGCGCAAAAAGACGGTTTTATGCAGAATGGTGCGGCCACCCTCACAGACTAGAGGCTATGGACAATTTTCTTGCACACTGCTATGATGTACTTATAGGATGTACTTGTGCATGAAGCGCAGCTTGCACGATGTTTTCTCCAGGCACGTCAAAGACAGAGTAGCGGGGGACCGGACGGGGCAACCAAAGGGGTCGCATTCACAAATGGCCAGGTCAACGCCTTGACGTGTGTGGGAACCTGGTATCAGCAAGAAAGGCCAGGAACTGTTGGTGATTCGACGTTATGAGTTGGAAGTCCTCATGTTGAAAATAAACGGCCTTCAGTGTACCAGACGATAGCGGATAAGTGACGTCATCAAAAAACCATGAGTTATATGGAGAAATCTCGACGCTTGAAAGCTGTGCTCTAGGCCAGATTTGTTCTAAAAAAACGATTAGCATCATCCCAAGTCCTTGCAGTGTCCGCCCTCCCCGTGAGGGCGAGACGCAGGCGGCACCGCATGGCCTCGCCAGCTAAACGTGTGGTAAAGCCCCAATGACGACGATGACCACCCAGTGTTCCTGTTACTCTTAGCACATCGCACTGAACGCGCCCATACCGTCCTTCGACACCCCTTTTCGTGGCACAACCAGGTGACTAATAAACAGTATACAGTCAAATATGTAAATATGTTCTACTGAAGGTACACACCCACCCACACCCACACACCCACACACACACACACATATATATATATATATATATATATATATATATATATATATATATATATATATATATATATATATATATATATATGTGTGTGTGTGTGTGTATACACTCAGATACGTATGCATTCGACTGCATATTGTTTGTATATATATATATATATATATATATTATATATATATATATATATATGTGTATATATATATATATGTGTGTATATATATATGTATATATATATATATGTATATATATATATATATATACAATTAACAGTCAAACTGCACTGTACAGTCCCGTCCCAAAATGCATCTTAGCTCGTCCCCCCCCCCCCGCCATAGTTCAGTTGGTAAGAGCGCCTGCTTCGCGATTCCCTTAGCCGTCTGGAGGTAAGTTTGAGCCGCTGTAGACGTCAGCTATTTGCCTCTGACTGGGATAGCCTGCGGTCGGCGGTAGCGGCCGCGCTAACCGGTCACGTATTTCCAGAGAGGGTGCACGAGCCGTGTCGAGCATTGCGGCATGTAAAGCTTTCGCCGTAAATTTTGCCACTGACTCGGAATTTAAAGATCAGATGGTGGGGCGAGCACACAAAAAACCAGCGCTGCTTAACGTGGGTACTTATGTCAGACATTCGTCAATTCGGAAAAGAAACGCATGGTCTCTCCCATAACCGTTACGATTTGCTACGCACCAATAAAAGAAAGCACAGCTGCTTTCTTTCGCATGCATAAGAAAGCAGTTATAGTTATAGCAGCATAGTTAAGCAGAAAGCAGCAGTTATATCACCAATTCGGGGAGCGGTGTGTGGGTGTCTTATTATCCCCACAATCTAGAGTAAATATGTTCACTAAGGGAAAAGGCGGGGATGTCCACTTACCCCGTTCCCTTGGCTATATGTCTGCTGGGACCACGGTGTGTCTCGCGGTGCTAGAATACGAATTCATGCTCTTGCAATACTGAGGTGTGTGGTGAACTGCTGACATCCAATTTCAGCGTCAGTGAGTACTCGACAAAACTTAGTTTACATCACCGGTCACCTGTCATGCCTGGTAGTTCTTATCTCAAAGATAGCGCATAATTTCTGCCTGATGAGCCCTCTCCACACATCGGGTTTAAAGGCGTACCAACTGACGTGGAGCGGCCTAGGGCGCCCACATAGCATATAAAGCATGTAATATGCCTTACATATGTTCTGTGACATGTGCCTGGACATTTGTGCTCAGGCGGTGGTAGGCTCCAAGAATGCCGCTTTTTGTATACGTTTCCGGGTCGGCCCTCCCTCATTCTCCATTCATTTACACTTCAAATGTTGGATCTGTGGCAATACATGAAACGAGTGACCTGAAAGGGTTCCAGCCGAGAGTCAAGGTCTCCCCCTCAGTTCCCTTCAAAAGGGCGCCCCTGGGGGAATCTTACTGTTGTCCTTGATGAGCTGCTCCAACTCGTCGTTCTCCTCTGCGCTCTGTATGCTGGCCAGGTGCATGTTGTGGTACCGGCAGTACTGCATCGCCCGGTACCAGTTGGCCTGGAATGTAACGTGCGTGCGTTATGTAACTGTCGTGTAACGGGACAGCAACGCTGCAGTTAACAGTGACTGGCGCAGCGTGGACCACCGTGGGCGCAAGCTAATTTTCTGTTCCTGGAACTCGTCCGGCGATATTTGAATCGGAAACACACCTCTGCTTTACTCGGCCACTGCTTACAATATATCCTGTGCATTTATCATCACATTGCATTGTCAGTGGCGTTAGGATACACATACACATAGGATACACATACAGACATTCCACGCGCATGTTCTGACGGAGAGAAAACGCATGGAACAGGAAGCACGTGAAGGAATTTTTCGAACGTCATGGAAGTGAAAGAAATTGTGCGCCTTGTACGAGGTAATAGATACACGGTATCCAGCAAAAAAACGTGAGCAAAACTTTTATTTAGAAACAAGGGATTATGTAAACAGAAACCAAACACTTCTCGTGAGTTGTATGTGCTTACCAACTTGCCACGTATTTTTGGCAAGAAATGCGACGGTCAAAACCTGCTAGGCGACTATACACCTCATGCGTGACTTGCTTAAAATCGATACGCGAGGTAAGTTTAGCCGTTTAAACAAAGCTCTTGGGGCTTGTTATATTGCGAGTTTGCGGTGTTGCGGCAGTTATGGCGTAACAGGCATCACCTGTCATGTTCTTTTCGTTTTTTCGCTGTTATTATTCTATAATATAGCTCTTGTATAAAGTATATATCTAGCTCTTGTGTATAGCTCTTGGGGTTTGTTACCTTGCGAGTTTGCAGCGCTACGGCAGTTATGGTCGTAACAGGCATCACCTGTCATGTTCTTTTCGTTTTTTCGCCATTATTATAAAATGCTATTTCGCTTATGCTTTTCGGGTGTTTAGCTCACAAGATTGATTGGCTGTACTATAAAATATGTCTAGCAATAGTTGCATTCTACCTAACTTTCGGTGTCTATGTTGTTTTTTCCACATATGCTGCGAGTTTACCGTCCCTTATAATTTTCCAGTTGTGAAGTACTCTAATACAGATGTTTTCGGGCAAGTAGGCGTCATTGCGCTCATATCAAAAATAGCTGGGCAGCGATGGTTGCTTTCTCACATAGGAAGGTCGCTTGGTGGGTATTATTGATATGCTGATGGGCATTATTCATATTTATATTTTATGGGTGGGTTGGTTGACCTTGTCTGCCAGCGAACCATGCAATAGACCTTGACTTTGTTTGGGGAAGTAGAAAGAAACCTGCTCTTAAAAAGCCAGTAATTTTCGCCTGTTGGGTACCCAATTGCCAGTCTTACCTGCTTTCAAAACCTGATTTTTTAAACCAAATTGACCCCTTCGCTTTTTGAATGTACATCAAATTTTTATTATGAGAGAAGTGTTGTCATCTTTCATTGGTGTCAAGCTGACGCAAATGAACTCAACCAAAACACAAGGTGAAAATCAGTCGGAAATAAACTCTTCCATGTTTTCATCACAGCTGCTGTTGTCAAGAAATATGTGGGGTAGGTTGAGATAATGTTCAGAGTATGGACTACTTCAAGTTAGGTTAAGTTGGTTACTTGGATTGTAAGCAACAGTAGGAATTTTGTTAGAATCAGCGATTCACAAATGCTGCTGTGATACAAATAGTTTGGGCAGGATGAGATGAGGTAAGGCTTCTTTAGTTTAGGCTTAGTTAGGATTACTTTATCTATGTGCATATGTCAGCATATGCATTTTTCAAGAAACAGTGGTATATTTGTATTTCCTGACCCGATCTTAACAGAAGCCAACAGTATGTCAGTCGTTTGTTTGATTTGGTGATATGTCGATGTGCCGGAGTCAATACTTCTTTTGTTTGAATGCTGTCTGCATGCTGAATTCATTGTTGTTGAACTCTTTTGCTTCGTCGTTTGAAATCCTATGGAGGTGAACTGCAAAGTATAGCATCAAAGACATTGATGCTACGTAGTATTGGTGCTCATCACACTGTTATGAATTACTTTTTTAAATGTATTCTGTTTCAGTGTAATGACCTAACATGTGCAAAACAAATACTTTTTTGTAATGTTTATGGTATTGCGTCAATGCCAACTTGAAACGTATGCCTCTGTTTGCAGAACTATCTCTCACGACTTACAAGTTTCAGCTTTTGTTAATATAATTTTTCACTCCTGTACGTTCTTTTTGCACTGGAATTTTTCACTCTCATCCTAGCTCAAAAGTGATCCTTCCTTACTGCTCGCCGCACATGATGACTAATCCGCTTGCGCTCCACTGTCGCAAGAAGCATAAGCGCTACGCTGTGTGCGTTTAAGTATGTGCGTCTTCCCTCGGCAGCTGCGTTAACTTTGACCGCACCCAGCGCAGATTAGGCCGCACACTTGTCGACGACGTGGAATAATAAACAGACGGGCAGCCCCGGCCTGACCAGACAGCGGTCCAGTCAGGGTCCAGCAGTGGTTTGCGGCGGCCGTGGCGAAATATGAGGACTTTGTCTCACCAGTGTACCGGTGGCGGTGACAGCAATGCTACGCCAGGTGGTTTCGACCATGCGCAAACATTTGAGGACATTTTACGCCTGGTTGGTGGCTTTGGCCGGTGGCACGCCTGGCTGTATTTTTGGATTGCGATCATATCGGTCCTGTCGCCTTTCCAAATGATGGCGAACATATATTTCGGCGTCACTCCCCCGCATTGGTGCGAGCTGCCAAGTGACATCCGGAACCGGACATCTAGCGGCGACCTACCCGAACACAAGTTCATACCGTCCACCACCGACTCCAGCGGCGCCAAAAAATACGACCGGTGTGTGCGGTTCGAGGTCATCTACACGGAGGATGGCGTGGTGGTGACGAACGCGACGCAGTGGTGTGAGCGGTGGACGTATGACCGGTCGGAGTACCCGTCCACGATCGTCACCGAGTGGAACCTGGTCTGTCACAGACGGGCACTGCGCGCCACCGACCAGGCCGTTTTCATGCTGGGCATCCTGGTCGGGGTGTTTGGCAGTGGCATTCTCAGTGACCAGTTTGGTAGAAAAAGGATGCTCGTGGTGTCGTCCGTGTTCTTCATCGTCTTCAGCACGTCCGTCGCCTTCGCGACCTCCTACGTCGCCTTTATCAGTCTGCGGTGCCTGACGGCTGTGTTTATCAGCTGTCTTTTCACAGTCAGTTTCGTGCTCTTCATGGAAATGTTCCCGCCGCATCTGCGAGGCAGGCTGGGAATGCTCTTCCAGATTCCTACATGCATCGGAAACATGATCCTGGCGCTGGTAGCGTTCCACTGCAGAACGTGGTGGAAGCTTCAGCTAGTTATCACTGCTCCCGCTCTGCTTTTGCTAGTCTACCCCTTGGGTGTTAGACGAGTCACCGCGTTGGCTCCTCATCCAGGGCAGAGTGGACGAAGCTGTCGTCATTCTGCAGAAGATGGCCCGCGTGAACAAGAGATCCCTGCCCGACGACCAGGAGGTGAGACGCATGGTAAGCGCCGTGCGAGACAAGGAGCTCCAGCAGGTGACCGCAGTCAGCTACCGGTCAGAGGGTCGGCCGCGCGAGGCGGGGTCGGCGCGGCGCGGCTGCTGCGTGGGGCCGTGCTACTCGCGAGGTCCGCTGGTGCTGCTGGCCACGCCTCGCCTGCGCGTTATCACCCTCTCCAGCTGCTGGGCCTGGCTGGTGGTCAGTATGCTCTTCTACGGCATCACCTTCGACATGGCCGACCTCAGCAGCAATATGTACGTCAGTCTGACCGTATCAGCCGCACTGGAGATTCCCACCTACGTCGTCTCGATTCCGCTGATCGACCGATTCGGCCGGCGCCCGGTCACAGCCTGCCTCTTCCTGGCCGTGGCCGCCGCCCTGCCCGCTACCCTCGGCATCCCAGCGTCGCCGGCGTGGGCGCGCATGACGCTGGTCACCGCCGGCAAGCTGGCTATAGCGGCCGCCTTCAGCATCCTCTACGTCTACTCGGCCGAGCTGTTCCCGACATCGGTGCGCACCATGGGCGTCGGCACGTCGTCCATGTGTGCTCGGATCGGCTCCGTGGCGGCGCCGTACATGGTGTACCTGCTCGGCGCGGTCCACTGGGCCGCCCCGAGCTGCGCGTTCGCCGTGTGCGCCGCCTCGGCCGGCCTGGTGACGTTCCTGCTGCCCGAGACGGTCCGCAGGCGGCTGGCGGAGACCATCCAGGATGTGGAGCAGCGCCAGTGCGGCGCGGTCGAGATGCAGTGAGCCTGGGCGCTGCAGCGCTGTGATCGGTGTCTCGTCGGAATGACATCTGTGCAGGGGAATCTCGTATTGTTGTCGCCACGCTGTCCTGGTTTTTAGCATTCATATTAGTGAAGCTAACAACTTTGCCCAAGAGCATCGCTGAACTACTCATTAACCAGTGCGGACTCTTAATCGTGACCATGGCTATGAAAGCGATGCTACCTTTGTGCCACAGTATGTTGTATATGCCATTGTCGAACTGTGTGCTTATGTGCGCCACGCAAGTGACTCAAACTGCGAGGGTGTGGTCAGGTGTGGAAAATGTTTTTTTTTTTTTGGTCTACAAATGAGCTCAAACTTGTAAGTGGTCGCCCATGGTGGAATCAGCTAGTGTGGGTTGCATCACCTTATGGCGTCTTCTTAAAGCATCATAAAATCTTCTCGCTTCAGATGTAGACAGCGCCACGCCTTATCCGCAAAATACAACAGGTTTCTAGCAATGACGGCGCAACGGTGGCGGTGTGTTCGTGGCTGGTGTTGGCTGTGGCAGGCTGCAGGTCTCTCTTTTGGGTGCGTATCCGGGCGACGGGCGGCTGCCACAGGCTCCCGGCCGTGCCACCTACCAGCTGGGAGCTCAGGAGTTAGCGGCGCATCCGTGGCTGGTCGACCTTATCTGACGCGGCGCTGGTGACGCTCGGAGTCCAGCGGAGAGCCGCTAATGACGCTCCTTCCCAAACAAACATGACCGCCACTGGTCGGCACGTATAAGGCTTCAGCGTGGTGGCGGGCGCGCTGATACCGTGTCTGCTGCTGCCGCGCTTTGGTTTCTCATGTCGGACCACACCACGCCGGAGAAGCAGCACACCAGGCGCGAGGGTCACCAGTCTGTGCCAGCGCCTGTCGGGGTCACGAAGGGAGTTCTCGGTGCTGGCTGCTGGTTCACCCCAGTCTCTGGCGCTGGTCGTTATTACGACATCGCGCAATACCCTGCGCTGGTCTTAGCAAAAAGAAAACATGCGGACAATGCCTTTTGAACTCGTAGCTCGCCAGTTTGAACTTGCAGTGTGCAGTTTTATTTCTACGCATGCATATTATGTCTATAGATCAGAGACATAGCTAAGGGGGCAGGCAAAGGGGCTGGGCCTCTTCCTCCACCCTGGGCCAAGACGTTTACACTAGATAGTGGGCAGCTTCATAGTGCTTTGGTCCAAATTTGCAGGATTTTGGATGAAATTTAACATCTGACCCCCAAACCCGGGAGAATTTTGGCTTCGTGCCTATCCTTCCGGAGAGCGCTCTCTGCGGACTGCTTGCGGCAGCTATGAACGCGATGGAAGCGAGCACGAAAGGTCCGCTGGCTGACGTTCCAATCCAGAGGGGTGACAAACCAACGTTCTGAGTATGGGAGACGACTGATTGAGGGGTGTAGGTTGGCTTGCTGGAGGAAGGTCATGTCACCACCGCTCGGCAGTCAAACATACCGGCTGAAATGCGTCGTGCGTCTGTCAGGACCGTCACCTGGTTTAGTTTTCCGTCAGACAATTTTGTTGCCAGGACAATTTTCACGCCAAGGAATAAGTTTAGTTATGTCATGCTTTGTACTTGGTACCTGTCACGAATCTTGGTTGAAGGAATGTCAGAAGCCACTACCAGTGTCAGTAACGTTCTGTATATTACCGATGTAGTACGCTTTGCAATATACGTATGTCAGCCGCCAAAACTTGATACTGCAAGTAATCAGTTAACGTTATTATCCAGGGACATGGATTTTTGCTGTACGCAGGAGAGTCGATGTGGCCATACGTGCCCCATGCCAGCTCACTCTGCCAACATTGGCAAAATACAAATCCGAATTGAACTTTAAGAGTTGTGTCGTCCAGATGGTTAATTTTTTTAGGTTGTGTTACCAAATTGCTAAAAAAGTGTTGTGTACCACTTGTCCCATTAAATCGAAAGTACATGATATATTGTTAATTCCTCTATACTCTCTCCTATATTGTTTATCTCAACATTCTAAAATTCGCATGCACTCAAATACTTTGCTTTACCTATCATGGCTGTTATGTCATGATAACGTACGACACTGATGATTGCTGGAAAGAAGAACGAAGCATCCTAGCCGGCTGATGATGGGTTACAGTCAAGACAACGTATTCATTGTGTACCACATAGGACACTTTAATTATCATGCGGACAACAGGGGTGACATTTTCTGCGCTCCTGATTCTCCGCCCCTCTCACAAATTCAGATTTTGAATACTAGGCCTGGGGCGAAGAGTGGAAAGTGGCGTCACTGGTGTACAGCATTGCGAGTTAATTGCAAATTAAGGTCAGGAGAAGCAAATAACAGCTCAGGAGGATTTCCCTAGACAACTGTTAACGTTCAAAGTATTGCCTCACCTTGAAGAAGATCCCAAGGTAGTATTGCTTCCTTCCTAGGGTTTGGACCGGCATTTTCCATCGGTCCAAGGCAGATGATCCTTTTTCATCCACGCAGCTGTCGCACACTGAAACATCAGGGAATATTCAGTAAATATGCACTGACGTTATGGTCAAATATATCTAGAGTGGTATAAAAACACCAGGCTTGGGATTTGTCGAGGATTTATGTAAGAATTTCAGTTTAGAGATTCAGCAGATTTCAATTGCAATTATCCGGGATTGTAACAAGTGTGGATAGTTCTTATGTCTTTCTTACGTTTTGAATGTCGTTACATGCGTTAATTTCACCCACACTGTATTTGCCAAAAGAAGATGATGTTAAAGAGTTGACGCCCGGTCTGTAAAAGTGCCAGCCACCACTAGATTGGAAACCACTTGAGCATGGTTTCCATGGGCATAATTCTTGGCGGCTGTGGGTTGTCACAAATTCTTGTTCATGACGTCGCTAGACATTGCTCCCTCGTCCCTGATGCTCAGGCCAGCTCGCGTGCATTCGCAATGCGATCTCTCCTCAATACGTCTGAGCCAGGAACGATGCTTCCAAATGCTGCAGCATATGTAAATCAGTGGAGGCGGAGCGGTATCGCCGCGCTATACGCTTATCGTCGCCCCCGGCTCGCGAAGGACGAAACTCGGCTGGCATAAACTGGCGACTGTACGCCAGCCGCATCCTCTTGTTAAAACCACCTTCGAGTTATGCCGTGCAGCCCAATGGCTCCGAGCACCAGGAGCGCCACGCCTAGATAGGCGTGCCTTCCCAGTGTATTAGGACCTTATCTACGAGGCCCTGGTGAAAGCGTAAACCGGTTTCGACGTTGGGGGTGTTGGGTCGCGTTTTCTCCCACCTATCCTTCGCCGGCGCCCGGCGTCGCCTGGAAAGGGACCATGGTCCGCTTGTCTTCGGAACTGCAGGACTAGGTTAGGTCAGCACGGTAAGTCGATATCAATGCCTTTGGCGTTCTTTTATAGAAGAACAGTTCTCGAAATATGGGTCTTGCTCCCATGCACGAATCGCAGTTAACACGCGTAACTCCCTCGTTATGGAAAAGTTTCGAACGCTCAGTGCGTATGCTCCTAGCTGTCACCAACCGACTGGGCTATTAAGCGACGTAATTACCTGACACGAATTTGCAAGAGATCATGCAGGTCAGGGACTCGTGTGTGGTGTGGCCTTGATTCTTTCTTTACGGCCCATTGCTGCCACATGCTCAAGGTCAGTTGGGCAACATTGATATCGTTTGCAGCGGCTGGGTCACGCCCCACTGTCTCTCATTGGTCCGTTAGAGTGCGCATGCTGATCGTGACGCAGCTGTTCGAGGCATCGCGCGTGCATTGTTTGAAGTAATCGCCTGACACCCGTGACGGCGATGTTTGCTCATCAACTTAGAATGCTCATAAATGGAAACAAAGAGGCGATGGGTGGTTAGAAATGACCGACGGACGTGAAAACTTATGATGGCCCACCCAGTGCTGCAGTGATGTATGTCTGATGGTGGTGGTGATGTTGGCAACACTTGTTGCTGGGTGCATTCGTTACATGTATTGGCATTACAAAGCTCTTCTCTGTGGTCGAAAGAAGACGGGAAACGTCCCCCAATGTTTCAACAGTTCTGAAAAGACATTCATCTTTCAGAAAATCTCCAACCGTGTGTTCACAATCTGGATGTTTTAGCCAACGCGCAGTAAGATGTTCACATTGCGGGACGGTTAACGGCCGTCAGGTCGTTTGATCACGTCGTTTGGTGTGCGCATTTTGGTGGGGCTAACACTGCTTGGTGCGCACGTTAGAGCAAGGCAAACACGGGCAGCAACGTTGATTGTCTCTGAGCAGTTGCACTCGGCATCATGATATCGCGCCATAGGTCAAATACCAAACTTTGGGCAGTCCACAGTGCTTCCAAATCGCCCCCAGCGGCGCATAGCTCGATCGGGGTCAGAATGCCGGCTGGGGCCGCCAGCCGGCCGTACTCCATACTCCTGTTTTGTATTTGGACGAACGTTCCCTGACCTCAGCCCTACCGGTGCCGGGGGACACTGACAAATGACCTAGCTGCGTCAGATCACCGAGCGCGCCGTGCCCTCTCGAACTCCGCCTGGCGGCGTAAACAGCGGCCTGATGAAGCTGCACAGTAATCACCGATAAACATCGCTGTGCAATATCCCGAGAATGGGCCGCTCCGCACCAGCGCTGGTCGAATTTCGTGCAGGCGACTCACCGATACCGGCGGCTGCACGTCAATAATTCGAGGCGCTTCGGGCGGTGTTTGATGCGAGTACGAATGGACTCGTCTACTGGAGTCCAAGTGGACTCGTCTACCGCGGCCCGACCTCGACGGTGCTAACGGGCTTTCAGGTGCTTCGAGCGGCGCCTGATGCGAGTACGAATGGACTCGTCCATCGCGGACCGGCCTCGGCGGAGCTGACGTTGCGTTTGCGTGCTGTGTGATAAGCATCGCCACTTCCCCGGGCATGTGTTATCGGCAAGTGATCTTCAATGGACGGCTTATTGATACGGCGCAATGCATAACCACGTCGTCAGCCCCGCCCTCTCGCGCTAACAGCCAAACTAAATCAGTCGACGCTAAAAGCCCACTGATCTCTAGTGACTGCCGCGAGCCAATTGTCGATAGCTGGTCAAATTATGTGTTGGTTTACGAGACAGTGGCACAACTCAACGACATGGGTAGTGAATATAAATTTGGTAATTTGTCTGCTCGGGCGTGTTAAATGGAATGATACCGATGCAGCCTTCAAACGAAAACAATTACTGGTTAAATATAGCACGCTAGTGACCTCGGTCCGGCCAATATTACCTGCACTGCATGAATTGTAACATGAAGACTACACGTAGATATTCGGAGGACGCACAGCTTGTTTTATTTTACTTTACTGCATTTGAGACCTCAAGACGCGAAGGATGGTCTCAAAAATACATATTTTAAATTTACGCAAGTTGGTCGTATTAGTAACCTGATAATCATTGTGCTGAAGATAATAACTGAAACGGATTGCTGATGGCATTGTCCACAGTTGTACGGGGTTTTAGATCGAGATAACTAGTTTGCAAATTTGTTCCCTGCAGCTCACAGCCAGGCTAAATTTTTAGAGCTCAAAATATCTTGTGTCTGAGCTTGACGCATGCAAACTTGTGCAGTTCTTTCGCGCTCCCTGTTCGGAACCCACCAAAACATGACGTCATAGGAACGCTACGCAAGCACCCCACCTCATTGGCTCTTGGACAAATAAAATGTGGCCAGAGAAACTTTCATGTTTGCAGTGGTTCAACACCAAGTGTCCCAACGGTATAGCGTAATTGGCTAACTTATGGCTAACTTTGGGTTAATGGGATCGAGCAAACAGTGCTACGTCTCGATCACGCCTGGTTATTTGGATTAAATTTCTTTCGTTCAGTGGCGACCATTTCAGGACCATGGAATGAAGGAGAATGGCTAACGGGGGCAGAGCTACATGCACCTGGGGTCCCAACGGCTGAGACTAAGCGCACGCAGTAACCCGCTGCAGGGCGAGCGCCGGCGCTCAGAGGGGGTCCCTATCAGGAGCCCGACGGCCGTTCGTTGCTGGCGCGTGCAGCCGGCCCCGCACGAGCGAGGCGTTGGGAGGATGCAAGCTAAAACAAAAAAGCGGATAAAAGAGTGGATGCTCAATCACGAACAGCGTTCCGTGCAAAATAACACAAACTGAAAGGCAACTGCTGCTTATGACGGATATCGGCCTGAGGGTCGGTTAACCTAAGAATAGCACCATGAACGGAAGTGAAAATGCAAGGAAGGGAGATTTCATCACGGAAAATATACATGCACACCACAAGAAAGGAATTAAACACATGCATATCACATTGGAACGAATGATTTACACGAATTAACCACCAGCGCCACCTTACAACACGTAGAAGTATCACAACCGAGTCATGCTGTCCGCTTCTGTGGGAGCCTTGACACAGTCAGTCTGGCTTTGACTCTGACGCCCTAAAAACGTTTCATGATGTAATCAAACCATTACGTATTCAGGAAGACATCTGCTGAAAAGTGAAGTTTTGATACTTAAGGCAGTCTTTTGCTCTTAGAAGCATACCAGTGGTGGCAAGTCAGCCTTTTCCAGCATGCGTGATGCCTGCGTCAATATCTTCAAATGTGGAGCAGTCTCTTTAATACTGCATCCAATGGCATTGGAGCATCACGTTCGCTAGATCCCATTAAGTTTTCAACGTTTTCTAAACTTGACCATCCTTGACTGGTTTCGCTTCCCTGATAAGCCGCAACCCATCCATTTTACGAATAATTCAGAGGACTGTGGTACCAGTTCGCTTCAAAAACCATGGCGCGCTCATTTTGGGATTTGCTCATAAATACGCGTGACCTTTCTATAGTTCCCTGATTCGTTTTACCCTTGAATTCAAGTACTACGCAAGCAATCAATATTGTCACATTTGATGCAATCAGTGTGCATATGATTTGGTATTTTAGGGGTAAAAACAGTTAGATAATACAGCTCGCGTCACCGGAGTATGTCTATCACTCAGCACGCTTCTAAAAAGGTGAGAACGTCCATTTAAATGTTATTTTTATTAAGTCTTCAGCAAAACGCCTTAAAACGCATGTCTTCTCAAACCAACGCATTGAAATTCTAGCGATAGTCTCCATTATGACGCATGTATCTAAATTATGCAGTAATGTGATGAGCTAAAAAGCCATCTTCATCTCACGCGTCCCAATGCACTTTTGATCTCAAATGTTCCCCACTGGTTCTGAATCAATGCACACGAGCCCGTTTTTGTAAGCTGTAGCTGCTCCCTTGTTGCCGAGTATCCAGCATGACCCCAGGAATACACTGAGCACGGCACAGAATGTTTCTGACGTCTAACCTGAATTGCTGCGGAAGGACTTGTTCCTGACTCCGGGAAAACTGACTCCAGTCACAGCCACGGCCAGCATTACCAAAGCCACAGCACAGCCGCGAACGCACACCACCGTGCCAGCTCCCATCGCGACTCGACTTCGGTCACAGCACTGTCCTGCCTCGCCGCTTTCGGCCTTCCCTGGCGAGCGACTGACCAGGGGTCAGTTAGCACACCAGAAAAGGAGATCGGAGGCTCGAGCCAACCTCAAGGCAGTCTCCCTGAAGAGCGCCTCACTGTCCAGCTTTAGGTCACGCCTGGATTACCCGCCGATCACCAACGGTCACTGGGTGTCACCAACGCGGTGCGAGAGCCCCTATGGACCCGGCTCGCTGCGAAGCTTCCGGCGTCACACCACCGTCACTCGACGCTCGGGAGCGGGTCTGGGGGTGCGGGGTGGCGTTCCGTGCGCGGCCACCTGGCGCGTGCGGTCCGGGCACGGCTGGTGTGAGGTCTGGCGGGGCGCCCCTGCCCGGTCCGACCACTTTCACAGCCGGTCGGTCGGCAGCCAAGGGCGCGCCGGTCGCCGCTGACCTCCGGGTCGGGTCGCCGCGATGCGCCGTCGCGCCGCTCGGCGCCCCAGCCGGGGTGCGCGGGACCTGTCACCACAGGTGACCGGGGCCCTGCGGGATCTGTCGCCGGCGATGGTGGGAACACGTGGGACCTGTCACCACAGGTGACCGGGGCCCTGCGGGATGTGTCGCCGGCAATGGTAGGAACACGTGGGACCTGTCATCACAGGTGACCGGGGCCCTGCGGGATCTGTCACCCGCGGTAGTAGGAACACGTGGGACCTGTCACCACAGGTGACCGGAGGCCCGCGGGACCTGTCACCACTGGTGACTGGGAGTTGCGAGCTCCAACGGCGATTGGTGAAACCCACGGCAGAGATCTGGAGCTCTGGGCCGCATGTCAGCACAGGCCTGGCAAGGATCCTGTCGAGGACAATGAGATGGGGAGATGTGTCAGGACAGGTGTCACTTAATGATAAGCATGGATTTCCCGGAGAATCAAGCAAGAAATCCGTACAATATCGTGCAGTAACTGCAAACTGGTGGAACATGTGTGCTATGCCGAGTGTGCTCTTATAAGCTTTCATCTCAGAGCCCTGTGCAAGCTGCCTTGTAAATGACAATTTACAATTCCTTTTCACAGGTTTGCCGGAACAAACTGAATGAATGCTAATGAGATTCCTTATGTGCCTTGAAGAACGGGCCAATCTTCACATTAGGTTCCCGACCTGGCATGACGGGACTGCGATGGAAGCGGGGCTTGGTAAACGACGAAGGTAATTAAGGAATAATCGTGCCGACGACAGGTTTGATTGCGTTAAGGAGTGGGTGTACAGCTAAAACACTGAGCGATGAAAGTCTCATCTATGGACGTTTCGGAGCATATTTAGTGAGTTATCGTTGGATGCTCATTTGTTGTCCTCAAATTAACTACATTTAGCGAAACGTTCTGCAGTTTTAGTTCGGTGGAAAGCATGCAACATTTCTTAATTGAATAGACAGATTTTAGCTCAACAAGTCCCATCCTCACATTATTTGCTTCAGTTTAAAGAGCCACACAGCTATGGTCTACCAATGCATCATCGAAATCCGGGGACCCTTCCATCATCCTGAACTTTTATGCTGCACGTGCTAAAGGAAAAACTTCGTGAAAATATTGAAGCGTAAATGTTAAACCACTGCCAAAAACAAATTAGGAACCGGGGATATCCCGCAGCTGCACCCGTCTACGCGTTTAGGTAACTAACGCTTAGGCGGCCCCATTCCTTGGGCCCATTGAACATCTAGCTGTGTCTGGTCGTGGTGATTGAACGTTTCAAGTGAGGTAACCCTAGAGTCAGAATCCTTTAAACGCACTTTAGAAATGAGGAAAATATAATCTGTGGAACCGGTCCGCGGAGGTTCGTTGGGCCTGTTTGGTTAATGACTAAACGAGTTTGCAGCTCTAAGGATAGGATGTCATTGCACAATGGCATCAAGACGTCAGCAAACAAGATTATCGCCCGTGGAATGACATAATTCCCATCTTGCAAGACAGCAAGCTCTAGAGCACGCATTTCCAGCGTACACATAGCGCCTTTAGAAAGGCTCGACCCTGTGGAGACCGGCTTTCAATTTAGGCCCTGGTCTGGGCAACTTATTTTAATCACATGTCTGGGCAATATGAAAGGCTGACAATAAGGCAAAGCAGACGATATCGCTTTACAATTTACTCTCATGCGGCCAACATTACGACTGCCCTCGAACACAACACACGGAGACCGCAAGGGCTTCATTTGCCGCGGTTCATTTCACCTTGCCCGGAGCTAAAATGGGAGCACGCCTGGCGTGCAGCATCCCACCCGCTTTTCAAGTAATGTGCGGCCGGGGCAGAGCTCGGGAGAGGCAGAGAAAGCGGAAGAGAGGGGCACACCGGGCGGCCTTGGCAGGGTCGGCACGAGTGCCCGCCGGTCCCTTTGTCTGGTAGCCAGAGCCGGTGTCTGAGAGCGTAGAGCACGGGATGCCGGGAGCGAAAGGTAGGGAGCGCCCTGCGTCTGCATCGAAGATTGTATACACATCCGCCCACACCATGTATATACACACTCATATATACATACACACATATCTACAAATATGCATATATATGTATATATATATATATATATATATATATATATATATATATATATATATTAGTATCGTGTACCACATGAGAAGAGAACGAGTGTAGGCCAACTGACCCTCATTAGATCCACACAGTGATACGGCATGTTTCGATGATACTTGAGGGGCTGCCAGGACAAATCCCGTGAAAGAATGCAAATTTCAATCATATCTAATCGAAGTTTCCAGTCCGAATCATACGGCCCTGTCACGGCCCTACACATCGCATGCGTATGGTGCAGGGCAGGGGACCCTCCCTCCGTCGTGACAGCAGCTTCTTTCTCGCAGCGGGCGCTTAACTTATTGGCAAGATCTTAACCTCCCCCGGCGATGGCATGTCCTCCCGCTGGAATTCAATGGGTGCTCTCCGCCCAAGCAGTCGTGTTTATCTGAATAATTGCACATCTGGCTGAGCACATCCAAGGCTGCATGATTATATTAGCGGCATAACGCACCTGCTTTATCAGCTGGGAGTTCACATTACGACAGCAATCAGCCTTGCATGTGCCCGGTGCTAATTAAGCGACGTTACCAAGCAAGCATTGGCTGTATTGATAGAACACAGCTTTCAGGGCGTACGCCCTGGCACGGGTGATAACATCGTCTAACGCCAGCTCCTGGTATGTTGGTGGCCGATTGTCAGGAGACGAATTTCAAATTCGTAATTTCGAGAAAAAACAGCATTTCAAGGCTCTTCTCATTAATGGCAAGGTATTTGATTGATGTGTCTGAAGCTGACAACTGACCTGCATGTCTGACTTGTCTTCTTTACTGGGATGAGGCCTATTGTCGGTGATGACATTGATCTTCCGCTCTGTAGGGGATGTTCACCGCCGGACTTTTACATTACTCAGGGCTCGCCTTAATCACGATAAAGATCTCGGGCAGCATTGTCAATCCCGGCAGTGCCCGACATTCCAGTTTTTGTTATGCATACGTGGCAGAAAAGCTACGGTTATTGCTGGCGAAAACGCTGACCAAACATACAATTTCACAGCTTTATTAATTACATGTAGCAACTAGCAACGCACAGGAACATTCGTGATGGCAAACATTAAAACAATGATGATTTGAGGTTTCGTCCGGGACTCCGCGGAAACTGAGGAAACGCTCACGATCCAGAGTACGCAATTCCTGTCAAAGGTCCGGCGGGAAAACTGAACAAAATGCGACGCTCGCGACCTTTTCCTCGCATCGGCACTACACCACACTCGGCGGCCCAATAGCAAACCACACGCGATTCCCCGCGCCCGCGCCGGGCCGTCCATCCGCGCTTAAGTCCATGTCAGCGGGCACATGTCCGAGCCGACCGCGTCCGACTTCGAGCCGTCGTCGAGCGCGTCCGACTCGGAGCCGCCTGGCGACCGCGGCACGCCGGAGAGCGCGGCCACCGCGGCCGCCGCGGCCCCTGCCGGCGCGAGCCGCGCGCCGCCTAGTGGCCGTACTTCTGGAACTCCCACTCCCTGTTGTCAAGCGGGCACACCTGGCGCGTCTTGAGCCAGCGCGAGATGCAGTGGAAGTGGAAGGCGTGGTTGCACACACCCCACGCCACCGTGCACTCCTCGCTGGTGGCCGAGGCTTGGTTGGCCTGGCACTCGATGCAGTGGTCCATGATGTGGTTGCGGCAGATGGCGCAGTTGTCGACCACGATGTCCCAGGCCCACAGCGCGACGGCGTTCCACTTCTTCACCTCGAAGCGCTTCTTGTCGCCCTTGGACGAGCCGGCCGCCACCTCTTCGTCCATCGTGTCCACCTCCATCGACGCCATCACGGGCGTGTAGACAGCGGCTGGAACAGGAAGCTTTGTCAGTCACCAATGCTCATTATCTTGGGGAGCTTGCTTTGAAGCCACCAGGCAAGAGCACCTGAACTTCATGGCCGCACAATTATTTTCAGTTTCATCAACCTGGCTTAGTAAGGTTCCAGCCTTCACAGATGGACATCACATTGTTTTTTCATCTTCAAAGATGTTTGATATGTTGCAAGCAGGCATGTAGTTACATGCCAGCTCGGAAATTTCACATATTCATATCTTGAGTAGTCATCAAATTGATGAAAAGGCATGCATGTGGATATGCATGGTAACTATGGACATTCACATGGTTCAGCTAGTGGACCACAAAGCAAATTTCAACAATTATTGATAAGTGCAAAGCTAAACTGGCTGCTTAGTCATGACCAAGCTTATGCAAATTTCCAAAACAAGCATCCTCATTCATTCAACCTCCTTGTGTGACAAGGGAAAGGTTGAAGTATAAAGTACACATGAGTGCTAAGTGGAATAAATAAAAAGGACATATAACAATACCTTGAATGTTACCACCATGTATGAGGCTTGTTGATTTGGTACTCATGATATGTTGTCATTTGGTCCTCATGACATATTGCCATCACTACCAGCTAATAAGATAACTTGTTTGGTTGTCAGATGCAATGCAAGTTGAGATGTGAATGGTGTAAATTCTTACCACGCAGATGGTGCCAAGGACTAAGTTAATGCAGCCCAACTCCACTGGCCAGCAATAAAAATAAGTTTGGGTTCTTAAAAATAAAATAATACAAATAAGTAATCCATTGAGAGGCACTATTGATTAAAACATATTATGCAAAGGTCCACTGAAAAGCATTTATGCACTACTCCACAGATAATATTGCAAGAAAACTCGGATATGAGCCCAGTCCACCCAGTAATTTCAATTAAGGATAGCAATGAATTTGCAAAGAGAAGTAAGTTTGGAAATTGAGATCAAAGTAGCAAGAGTGATATGAATAGTTTGGATGGATATT